AGTAATGTGCTAATTTTTTAACAGCTTATTGTATTTTTCTGTCACAAAAGACTACTTGTGGTACATAAGAGACAGAACAGGAGAACTTTATAGTATTTAAGTGCAATTTAGCCAAGAATCAAAGAATTTAACAAAGAGTTTAGAAAGCTAATTCAGAATGCATGTGAAGGTAATCTCAAAAGATGGATACGCTGATGAGAATGGAGAGCTTTACAAAAGCCATTCAACAAAGCCTGCAATTTCCCAAAAGTCCAATATAACACCGAGGGAAAAAAGCTAATTCGACAAAGATCTGTCTCCAAAATTGCAAATTAATCCTAAAGCTTGATCTCTCTGCAAAAGCTACAAAAAAAAGTCAGGGACTTTTCTACAAAAAGTAGAGCAGAGGAAACAATGCCCAGGTACCACTCCTTTATTAATTCAAAATTTTCCGGTACTAAAGTGGTAAAATGATCTCAAGAAATCCTCAAGGAAAGCGACATTAACTTAATTTAATCGGTTAATGCGCCCTTTAACGCATAATGAGGCCATGAGGGGCTCTTGAAGTTCTCCTCAGACATTCCGAGTGTGGGGTCTTCGCTGGTCTCGAAGCTCGATTGGGAGAGCAGCCGAGCAGGGTCTCAAAAGTGTAGGCCTAGTTCCCGGGGACATTTTGGGAATTCCCGAAATGACCCTGATAGGGGTATTTTAGGAACTTTTTATTGGGGTGACGTGCCGGTGGTCCCGTGTACTTGGGGAGCACATGGGAGTTGCTGTTGCCCTGATCCCTGCATTCAACACTTGCCCAGTCCTTTTCACAACAGTCTCAGAAAGGAAAAAAAAATATTGTTTTTTTCAAGTAAGTCCGTTTGAGTTACAAATTTCAGTTTTTAACCTCCAATTTAGCTATTGTCTAAATATGACTTCTATTTTTTCCCTCTGTTTTTGACTTACATTTGTATTCTTATTATAACCAACATGTATATAAAACATAGAGAGTGGAGATTTCTCACTATTTATAGAGAGTTGGCAAGGGCACATTGAAATTTTGATCGGGTCAGTGCAGTTGGCTGATCAGACTGCACATTACATGTGCCGGCAGCTGGTTGAATGAGTCACCTTTTCGTGTTTAATACAACAATGTCGACAGAGTGACTGAAGTATCGTCATGGTCCGATGAGTCATTACTTTGGCCCGATGAGTCATAATGACTCTGACTCAGCATTAATGCAATGGTGATTGAGCGACGTAGTACAGCTGATGAACCTAATAGGTTGTCTCGTCATTCGAGATATTCTTTAGCGAGGGCCTTAGTAGAAGACGCCTTTCATATTGGATTTGGGTTCTTCTAGTATATCCCGGCTCGAAGACGCCTTTCATATTGGATTTGGGTTCTTTTAGTATATCCCGGCTCGAAGACGCCTTTCTTCTAAGACTTGGGTGGTCAGATAGGTCAGCGATGCTCACACCCCGTTCAGGCTTTCAGATTAGTGGGACTTGACCAGTTAATTATGACTCGTGACCAACCTTCAAAAGTTCATTAGACTTAATAATTCAAGATACAACACCAATTGAAAATGGCATAAAAAGCACTAATCAATCGTAAGCACTGTTTTGTTCTAATATGCTTTGCTAAATAGTATGAACATGCCTTTTGTTAAGGGCGTATTTATGTTACATGTGCATTTTCTATATTTTTAACAATTTACAGTGTACTAGTATATGTTTATACATGTTAAACTTCTTAATATCTGCAATTATGTTGTTTAGCTAATATAGTAAATTACCCTTGAAGGTAACCTTGCCCTAGTCTCCTTCGGAGTATGCCAGCCAACTACAACTTGCTTGTTATATCTAGATTAACCCATATGTCTATCTCAAGTACTGCCTATAGTATATCATAATAATAGCACTACTATTTACGAATTAATAGTGCTCTGCCATAAACAAAGTTGAAAAAAACCTCAATAATTAGAATGCAAATAATCCCCCCCCCCCAAAAAAAAAAAAAAACTATTTGCAAAGCGAATTTACACTAAAAAGTACCGCCGATAAAAAAACAGGCTAAATATAATAATAATAAAAACCTATTTTTGGACGATTAACAGAACCCCCCACCCATAACTTTTAAAACATCTGAAAACCTCTCCTAAGTTAGGGGCTATTAGAATTTTTTATTTAACTTTATGACTTTATCAGATCTGATAAAATCTCAAATTCAAAGATGATTTTCTGATAAAATCTGAAATTTAAAGAGAATTTTGTGATAATCTCTGTACTTAAGGGGGATTCTATCATGTTTTGAAAGTCAGGTGGTTTGTAGATAATTGTTGAAAGTTAAGAGGGTTTTATGATATTTACCCATAAAATAAACTACGCCCTCCCCCGCCTCGATCAAAGAGAACGAGGAAAAGAAAGAGAGAAAAAGTAACTTCCTAGAGAGGGAAAAGAGCAAAAAGACAGAAAAGTCTATTTCAAAGTTTTACCCCCCTACTCTTCCACGCATACCCCCTATTGGATACGTAAAATCCGGGGGTGAATACATTTCTTGTTCTCCGTAGTCCCCAAACTACCCCTCATCAACACCCCTCATTGTGCCCTCACCAACTCCCTCAACAGGAGGGTATTTTGGTCATTCAATCTCTCACTAGCCTCCCTTGGAATAATACCCAGGTATTTCAAGCAAAAATGAGAGCAAGGGGGGAACTTGGATGGAAAACGGAGAGAAACAGAGAAGGAAGCCTCCCACTACTTATTTTATCTGCTGCCGATAGTACATCAGTACATTCCATTCAATTTGAGAGAGTGCAAATATTTATTCTAGAGAGAGAGAGAGAGAGAGAGAGGGAGAATAGTGCAAGGAAGTAAAGAGTCTATATTTCTCTCATTTTATATGCTTCTTTTCTCCATCTCAGCAAGAGGAAGAGAAGAAGGCTGGTGAAGAGATAGCAAGGGCTCTCAACATGAAGAAGAAGAAGAAGAAGAAGAAGAATAAGAAGAAGACGGTGGGGATTTCTTAGTGGGTTTTTTTTTTCCTTTGTTCAAGTGTTGTTTCAAGTTTGATATTGGCACAATAGGCTCAATCAGCAGTTCACTCCCTTGCTCTCACTCTCTCTTTTTCCAAATTGTCTTCTTTTGTAAAGCATGGATTTTTTCCCCCCTGTATTTCTTTTTGGGTTAGGATGTATTTTCCTCAACAAGGGAATGGAACGAGAATGCTTTTTATATGTGATTGTGATGTATGCTTACATTTTGTTATATTAGTATCCTTTGTCTTTATGGCTAGCGGACACTCTCTGAGTCTCACCATTTTGTCTGCTGGACATTTATCGGCTGGCTTCTTCTGCTTGGCCCTGTCCTCTTTGCTCTCTTGGTTTTTTTTTTTTAAAATTTTATTTTCTTGAATCTATTTTGTCATTTGAGCAAATCGATGGGTTTTATTAGAAAAAGGGGTGCGGGTGTTATTTATTGGGTGGGTTTTGGTGGGAGGAGATTTTGGAAAGTGTTGGGTTTATGATAGGAGCACGTCAAATCAAGTCTATGGTGGAGTCAAATCAAACTGATCAAGGTGGTTGTGTGCACGGCTAGTTTAGCTAGTAAGTATGTGATCCAGCTGGTATTGCTAGATGTGGTAACCCCTCAAATGTTTCTTAAATGAGACAAAAAAAAAACGAGTCTTGAAACATCATTGACTGAGATTTTTTTGATGCGGAGTGCTGAAGCTAGGATCGTGTTGTGTTGTTAAAATAATACCAACGCGCTGCATGGCGAGCTGGCCCTCCCCACTCGTAGAGGGTGTGAAATATTATATGTTCCGTTCACAGAAGCATACGGAGGTAATTGATGGTCAATAAATGAGAAACAGGGGCATGCTATTGGATTTGGGATGGGTCGCCGGTCGCTTGGGGGCCGCCCTATGCCATCAATTTAAAAGCCTAATCTCACAGTCTGCCGCATCATTTTCAGCCATACAGCAACAACGGCAACAGGAAGAAAAAAAAAAAGAAAAGAAACAAATAAAAGAGAAGAAAAGAAAGCTATCGGTCTAGGAAACATGGCTAATGTTTTCATGGCACCATGCATGCATACCGTACGGTTAATTGCGGATAGGCCCCTGTCTGCTCTGGGGATGAGAAGAGTCAGAAAAATTCACCTCAGTAGCTCTCTATTTGCAACAGGTAAAACTAGAGCCTAGAGGGCTAGTAAGTTTAAAACAAGAAGTAAGGTTTCGAAGTTTGTTCTAGATATAAACTTAAATTGCTCTGTCCTATGAATTAATTGTGCCTTACATGATCCATATACAAATTTTTATTTATTTATTTATTTTGTTTGTGATAAAGCAATCTGTAACTCATGTTTGAATTAGGTGCTTGTGAAAGATGTTAGAAACACTTAAAACACAAACAAATAAACACTAGACTATATAAGATATGCCTCCTGCTCTTCTAAGAGAAGTAAATATATCAAGGATTAGAGCAAGAGAGGCTAGTATGATCATAATGCTCAAGATCTATGAAGGTCCAATTTTGTTCAAACCAGAATGAAACTGACTGACTGAATCAAGAGTCAATTTCTCTAAACAGGTGATGGTTTTCAGTCTCATCAGATGGAAAATGTAAATTTCTCAAACCAAACACACACAAAACATCAAACACTGCAACACCCCCAGAATTCAGAATCATTGAGAGCTATACATAATCAACCCAAAGTAAATGCAAACACAGTTCTCATTGCCAAAAAAACAGGAAACTGTGTAAACGACATATTAACAACACCTTAGAATCAAAGAAACTTCAAAACAACAAACCTCCATGGTAGAATTCAGTGAGAAACAACATGACCCTCAAGCAAATTCAAAGAACAGACTTAAATACTTCAGGGTCAATTTCTGCTGTCTGTTTGGTTGTGGGGGGTTGGGGGAGCCATTTGCTAGTCACATAGTTGACCATATCATTTGCTAGTCACATAACTGCTGCTCACAATCAAAATGATAAACAGACATATGCTCCAGACACAAGACATTTAACAAAATAGTTATCCTTTATTCAAACATTAAACTAAAAGGAGTTCATAACTCGAGCAACAGAGAAATGAAAACATCTTCAAACCTCAAACAATTCCCTACTCTCTCAGACAGACACAGCATTCTGCCATATAGAGCTTATTACTCAAAACAAAGAGTCCCGAGACAACAACAAAAACACATAAAACTAAAACAAAATACTAATACCCTGGCTGTCTGCTTCAATCCCAAAGCAATGTTGAACACCACCAATAGAAAGAAAAGAAAAAAAATCACCATTATCCCATGAAACACAATAAATCTTTTATTTTCCGCATTCATCATCCCCTTCTTCTCCATCCCAGCAATGGAGAATAGACCTTGGCGATACTGCTCTCTCCACAGAAGAAGCTGAAAAGCTCTGATATATCAGTAGTCCACCACCAGGGAGTTCTTGCTCAACAACATCTATCGAATCATATCCGTCAATGCTCACATTCTCACCCCAAGAGCAAGCTTTCTTCCTTCCCCCAAAGATTGTGACTGAGAGAGAGAACTCTGAGGGTGCAAAGCACCTCAAAACCTTTTTAACCAAGTCCCCATAAACAATCTTCTCAGGATCAAATCCCATAGCCTCATAGCTAGCATAGCTAAAACCCTCTTCAGGGGTGACATGAATAGTTGACAGAGCTTGGCTATGAATTCCGTTCATTGAATACCCACATGGATCGAACTCAAAATCACAAATTTCCATCTCGGGAATGATATCAGAGATCCCCGAGAGTTTAGTCATCTCTGTAGCAGAGCGATTGACTCCATCTTCTGAGTTTTTGAAGAACACCGACGCATGACATGGGTTTAAGCTGGTCATGCACATTTCTAGAGTCACCATAGGGGGCTCAGGCTTATCAGTAGCGTAGTAAATATGCCAGTTACGTCCTGGTGAATTTGGATCACCGATCACATAAGCATTGCCTCCTGATGAAAGCCTGCCAAAGAATTGATTGAGGACTGAAACCTCCTCTGAGAAATTACGGTGAGGAGCAGGCTGGGCTCCTGGAAATATAAACGTTCCCCTAGAGTACTTTGCCGATAGAATTGGGAGTGAGAGCTTAGCGGCAAAGTCAAGAATCGTAGGGATTGATAGGAGGAGCTTTGTAGTCCCACATGTTTTGAGGATAATCTTGTATGGATAAATAAAGAGGCTTGATTCGGAGAGGACATAAGAATCAAAGTTCTTGTTGGACAATTGAGAGACAATTGTGCATTGAGCGGGCTCGAGAATGGAGTCAATTTGAGCTCGAGAGAGAGAACGAAGGCCTCGGCCTTGTGGATCAAGGAAGAGTGGGGGCTCACTGAAAGTAATCTCGAGCCTTTTCTCATAGCCCTCGAATCCAATTGGGGAAGTTGGGAGAGAATTTGGGGTGTCAACCAATAGAATTGCCATTGGTTCTAGTAGTTAGGACTTCGGGAAGTATTTAGAAAGCAGCTAGCCAGAGAGATTTCAGGTTTGAAGAAGGATTCAAATTGCAAATAAAGGAAAATTCTACACTACTGGATTCGCAAGTAAAGGGATATCAGGATGGTTTCCTCACGCACTGCACGAGAATACAAAGAAAACATTAGAAAACATAATGCAAGTAAAATATGGAGAATTGGATATCTTTATGTTCCATTTTCTTACGTTGGAGTAAGCAGCAGATCTGAACTTCTCAATTCCACCGTGTGGTCGAACGTCTTCAATGCTGTATCCAAGGGGAGCTTCATACTGTAATGAACTACTACTACTAGACTTTTTGCCACCTTTTGACTCCATTAAAACATTCACAATGGCTGATTCAAGAGAGAAGATATAGTTCTTCATTAGACTTGCAACTTGAACAAGGTAATTATTGCTAAATCTTGCTTGGAAAAACAAAAAGGAGCTGTAGAACTGGAAACCAAGCACTCATGCAACATGCACACTGATAGCTCATCAATGGATAGAGTTCGAGTGTACTACCACGGAAAGAAGAATGGATCATATCTATAGATGTCTGCACTTTGTTTGTATTCTGTGAACAAACCATGCAGACAGGTTTATAGTATGAAAGCATAACAAAGCAACATGGCCATTGATTTCAGTCACTGCTTAAACTGTATAGGCCTAAAACATGATACATCTCGACTGTAATCCCAAACCTTAGAAACATGAATATTAGCTAGACATGTATATTGCATGATATAAGTAAAATGCCACATTCTTGATTTTTGTTATTGCAAGAGATAAAAAGCAGAGCCGTGCCTCATGATATCAAAGTATGGAATTCAAAACTTAAATGAACAATTAATTGACTAGTTTCATATATGAAGAAAGAACTGTATGAAACAAAAGTAGAACCAAGTAAAATAACAACCATCAAACGAACCATAGACGAACTAATGATGACCAAGAAAGAAGATATCATAGGAATGTTTTTTTTTTTTAAAATTTAAAGGTGGAAATGCACTAGAAGAGAAGAGCATATTGATATCAGAATTATCATTCAGAAGCCCCAAATAGTCTAAGGCACAATGGAAAGTAAGTTATATTGGTAGAAACCTTCTCAAGGCACAGTTTAATTGGAGTCCAAAAGAAACAAATACCGAAAAAAAAAGAGTGCTCTCTTTTAGGGAAATATAGTTTATATGTAGATAGATTAAACTTAAAATGCAGAATGTAGAATCTAATGCCGAAAGGTAGAAACATTTAATTACAGTGGGTAACAACCAAAAATTTTACATCCCAAATTCCAAGGGCAAAAATATTATAGAGGAACAAAACAAGGTGGAAAACTCCCGTTCTTATTCTCTGCCATGTATAATAAGAAGCCACATATGGAATCTATTCTCCTCATATTTC